TGTGTCTTTTTTCCCCTTCCCCCAGCCCTTCTGTGTGCCTCTTTTTCCCCTTTCCCCCAGCCCATTTGTGTGTTTCTTTGCCCCGTTCCTCCAGCCTTTTCTGTGTCTCTCCCTCCTTTTGCAGCTCCTTTGTGTCTCTTTTCCCCTTTCCTAGCCCTTTGTATTTCTTTTTCCCCTCTTCCCTTTCCCAGCCCCTCTGCATGTCTTTTCCCACCCCAAGACACTCTTTGTGTGTTACCTCTTTTCTGTGTCTCTTCCACTCCCCCCCGTCAATTTGTGGTCTCTTCCACTACTCCCCCCCTCCAGTGGTCTCTTTCCCTCTCTCCCCTCCTGGGCCTGCTCATCTCCCTCCTTGTAGCATAGCCACCCAGACTGTAGTAGAGGATCTTCTGTAACTTCTATCCATCTAACAGGAAACTAACAGCTGTTGGTTGTTCACAGTGAGCACTTCCTGTCAGAAGGGGTAGAGTATGAAGAAAATCCTCTACTGTGGTCCGCTACATGATGTGACTGGTAGGAGGGGAAATGTTGTGTGCTCCTCTTCTGATGGTCACCGGAACATTGCACACCCGGGCCGGTGCGCCCTAAGGTGGCAGCCTGTGCCAAATTATGGCTGTGCCAGCCCTGTTTGTACAGGGGGTGTAGTTTTTTCTGTATATAGTTGGTGTATACACAGTGCCAGATTAAGAGCCCAGTCGCCTGGTGCTGACAATTATGATGGGCCTAATTACAAAATCTAATTGACCAAAAACACTAAAACAGTCCTACCTCTTAAGCGTCATGCATGCGATGGAGATGGTGCTGGAGGGAAACTCATAGAATGCAGCTATGAAAAAACACATACCCTATGCTAATCTCATGCTTTCATCTTTCAAGTAAACCCATACCCCCTAACAGCTGTGTCTAGTAAAGCAGGAAGTCTATGGATGGGGTAAAAGGGTGGGCCACTGACACAAATCACATAACCAAAACTGCTGAAAGGGGCGAACATACACAAAAAGGGGACATGCCTCCCAGCCTCCCAGTCCCTTAGTGTCTGTGTTCCCATGTCACTAGGACACTAGGGGACATTGAGAGACATTGGGACACTGAGATACTAGGGAACACTGGGAGAGCTGGGGACACTGAGACACTTGAGGACACTGGAAGACATGGGGACACTGCGTGACTTTGAGACATGAGGGAACACTGGGAGACATGGGGCACTGAGAAACTGTAGACTTGATAAAGACCTGGGTACAGGTCAAAACTTTGCAGTGTCCAATAAACCTGCTTAAATCTATCACAGTGAGTGCCTAAAATGTTTTAATTTTATACTAGGGGACACTGAGACACTTGGAGGCACTGTGAGATATGGGGACACTGGGAGACAAGGGGATTCTGAGAGACTAGGGGACACTGAGACACTAAGGACACTGAGACACTACGGACACTGAGAGACACCAGGGACACTGGGAGACATGGAGCACTGAGACACTCTGATACATAGGGGACACTGTGATACATAGGGGACACTAGAGACTTGATAAAGACCTGGGTACAGGTTGAAACGTTGCAGTGTCCAATAAACCTGCTTAAATCTATCACAGTGAGTGCCTGAGATTTTTTTTTTTATACTAGGGGACACTGAGACACTAGGAGACATAGGAAACACTGAGACACTAGGGACACTGGCACACTACGGACATTGAGAGACACCAGAGACATTGGGATACTGAGATACTAGGGACACTGGCTGGGAGACATGTCACCCAGTGTCCCCTAGTGTTTGTATCCCCATGTCACCCAGTGTCCCCTAGTGTTTGTATCCCCATGTCTCCCAGTGACCCTTAGAGTCTATGTCCCCATGTCTCAAATTGTTCTGATGACACTAGTGGACACTTAGAGACATTGAGACACTGGGAGAGACTAGGGGACTCTGGGAGACTAGGGGGCACTGAGAGACACCAGGGACACTGAGAGACACCAGGGACACTGAGACATGAGGGACACTGGCTGGGAGACATGGGGACACTGAGAGACTAGGGGCCACTGGGAGACATGGGGCCACTGTGTCCCTAGTGTCTCAGGGTCCCCATCTTCCCCAGTGTCCCTATGTTTTCCAGTGTCCTAATGTCTCAGCATCCCCAAGTCTCTCACCGTCCCCATGTCTCGCAGGCTGCTCCCCCGCGGATCATTGTGTAGAGAGAGGCAGGGAGGGAGATGCTGTAACTTCTTATCCCTGCCTCTCTCCACACAAACAGCCCTACTGGCCAGCACTGGTATTGCAGAGTAATCTCTGTTTATACTGAGACAACCAGTTGTATTGCCGTTATTACTGCAATACTGGCACCAGCTAGGCAGCCTCAAATACCTTAGAAATACTTTTGAGAAATACCTGGCAACCATAAGAAATACATGAGAAATACCTGGCAACCCAAAGAGTAGTGTGTAAAAAAAAAAAAAAAAAAATGTCTTTCAAATCAATGGGCCTATTCCATGGGCATGGGCCTGGGCCTGGAGCTGCAGCTCCATCAGCCCCTATGTTAATCCGGCCCTGTGTATACGGAGTACTGAGTGTGTATAGGTGGAATAGTGTGTGTATATTGGGGTGTAGTGTGCATGTGGGTAAATATTAATTAAATAAAGCCCCTGTGTGTACAATAGGAGCTTTATTAATTTAGATATTTTGATAATTAGCAAAAAAAACAATGATCTCCTTCCTCCGTGTTGTTACCTTACAGGGAGGGCATACAGTCCAATCACTGGTGGTCCAATATGTTGGGTACTAACAGTGAGAGGGAGCCTGAGGTGAATGAATAACACTATCGTGAGCTCTGCCACTTACTGTAAAATGTAGCAATGCTCTGAATGGCCAGAGCTCGGGACAAAGTGAATGCCTGACATAAGTCTTCAGAGGTCATTTTGAGATAGGACCACTTTATTTTACCAAGGTGAATCAACCTCCTCAATGAGGAATGCAATATCAAGGTGCCAGAAGATGGACGCTGAGGTAAAGTCTTTCTTTAGTTTATAGGAGGCTGTTGAACATGTATAGATAAAGGAGACCCTTGTAGCTCTGAGTACACAGAGGTACCCTAGACCAGACAATCACTGGATAGGGTAATAAACAAACCAGGTAGGGTCAGGGAAGGGGAAGGGAAATAGAAGGTAGAGGGGACAGTATAGACTGGGAAACTAGGAATAAAAAATCCCAATGAACATCCCAGTAAGAGCTGCAATGTATATATAGCACTCTACCTATAGATACTCAAAACTGTTAAGCTCCCTACCCACAGAAGGGAATAACCTCCCCAAATAAAACGCATACGCTCAATGAGTACTATCCCATAGAAAAAAGGTAATGCTGAGACACCAAGGGTAAAGATAACTAACCCTAACCCCCATGAATCTGTGGGTAGGGAGATCAAGCTCAACAGTTTTGAGTATCTATAGGTAGAGTGCTATATATACATTGCAACTCTTACTGGGATGTTCATTGGGATATTTTATTCCTAGTTTCCCAGTCTATACTGTCCCCTCTACCTTCTATTTCCCTCCCCCTTCCCTGACCCTACCTGGTTTATTGTTTTTTACAATATCCAGTAATTGTCGGGACTAGGGTACCTCTAAAGGAGTCCCTTATAACAAGGGGATCCCAGAGTGTACTCAGCGCTACACTCTTGGATCCCCTTGTTACAAGGGTCTCCTTTATCTATACATGTTTATTTTTGGGTTAGCCCCTACTGTGTAGCTCTCTGATAGGTTCCTTTTAGGTCTGATCTGATATTTTCACACGATCAGTGTGATTATGTAGACCAGCCCTATTCCATTTTTCTTCCATTTAGGCTGTTAGACATGCTAAATGGGATCAGGGATCATGTTCAGGGTGAATTACAATGCTGAAACACTCCATGGAAAATGTTCTCTAAGGTTGGTGTGTGGCATAATGGTCCTTTAGTGAGCAAGAAGAAAAGGAGAACTATATAGCTGCAAGACCCCTTTCAGCAAACAGATGACTATCCAGGTCCTGGTTATTACAATGAATCCATGTATGTACCCCTTGTTTTACACAAATCTCAATATTTAGATTCTGAACATGCCAGGAATCCATGTATGTACCCCTTGTTTTACACAAATCTCAATATTTAGATTCTGAACATGGTGCCAGCATTCTTTTGGCTGTTTGACAGTAAACAATCTACAGTAATGTGCCTTGAAGATATCCATTTGCAGGAGTCCTACAACTATTTTGACCCTTTCCCTGTGATAGGAAAAAACTGTATATCAATATAAGCCACTGGTGTTTTTTCATTTATTTTTGTGATTGTAATTCCACAGAGGTATAGCAATATCCTATACAGTTGACTGTACTTCAGGTATTTATACTAATTGTCTCCAATCTATAATGAATAAACTGTAACACATACTGGCCTATACTACAATCTGAAGTTCGAAACAAATCAGGAATGTTTTTTGTTTTAGCAAAAATGAGATTTTATGAGAACATTGAGAACGGGCAACAGCTCAAGTAGCTTGTCCTTTGATGAGTTCCTGATCAGGTCTCATCCAGGTTGTAGCCTACCTTTGCCATTGCAGAGAGAACCCTAACCGGTCACATACCAGATTGAGCCCACCCAAGTGCCTGTAGGCACCCTCTTCAAAGAGACAGAGCAACCCTTGACAATTATTTCAGCCTTCAATGGGCCTTATCCCTAAGGTGTAGTTTATATCCCCAGCTACAGTGAGCTGGGGATATCTGGATTACTATTTACAGGGAGTGCAGAATTATTAGGCAAATGAGTATTTTGACCACATCATCCTCTTTATGCATGTTGTCTTACTCCAAGCTGTATAGGCTCGAAAGCCTACTACCAATTAAGCATATTAGGTGATGTGCATCTCTGTAATGAGAAGGGGTGTGGTCTAATGACATCAACACCCTATATCAGGTGTGCATAATTATTAGGCAACTTCCTTTCCTTTGGCAAAATGGGTCAAAAGAAGGACTTGACAGGCTCAGAAAAGTCAAAAATAGTGAGATATCTTGCAGAGGGATGCAGCACTCTTAAAATTGCAAAGCTTCTGAAGCGTGATCATCGAACAATCAAGCGTTTCATTCAAAATAGTCAACAGGGTCGCAAGAAGCGTGTGGAAAAACCAAGGCGCAAAATAACTGCCCATGAACTGAGAAAAGTCAAGCGTGCAGCTGCCACGATGCCACATGCCACCAGTTTGGCCATATTTCAGAGCTGCAACATCACTGGAGTGCCCAAAAGCACAAGGTGTGCAATACTCAGAAACATGGCCAAGGTAAGAAAGGCTGAAAGACGACCACCACTGAACAAGACACACAAGCTGAAACGTCAAGACTGGGCCAAGAAATATCTCAAGACTGATTTTTCTAAGATTTTATGGACTGATGAAATGAGAGTGAGTCTTGATGGGCCAGATGGATGGGCCCGTGGCTGGATTGGTAAAGGGCAGAGAGCTCCAGTCCGACTCAGACGCCAGCAAGGTGGAAGTGGAGTACTGGTTTGGGCTGGTATCATCAAAGATGAGCTTGTGGGGCCTTTTTGGGTTGAGGATGGAGTCAAGCTCAACTCCCAGTCCTACTGCCAGTTCCTGGAAGACACCTTCTTCAAGCAGTGGTACAGGAAGAAGTCTGCATCCTTCAAGAAAAACATGATTTTCATGCAGGACAATGCTCCATCACACGCGTCCAAGTACTCCACAGCGTGGCTGGCAAGAAAGGGTATAAAGAAGAAAATCTAATGACATGGCCTCCTTGTTCACCTGATCTGAACCCCATTGAGAACCTGTGGTCCATCATCAAATGTGAGATTTACAAGGAGGGAAAACAGTACACGTCTCTGAACAGTGTCTGGGAGGCTGTGGTTGCTGCTGCACGCAATGTTGATGGTGAACAGATCAAAACACTGACAGAATCCATGGATGGCAGGCTTTTGAGTGTCCTTACAAAGAAAGGTGGCTATATTGGTCACTGATTTGTTTTTGTTTTGTTTTTTGAATGTCAGAAATGTATATTTGTGAATGTTGAGATGTTATATTGGTTTCACTGGTAATAATAAATAATTGAAATGGGTATATATTTGTTTTTTGTTAAGTTGCCTAATAATTATGCACAGTAATAGTCACCTGCACACACAGATACCCCCCTAACATAGCTAAAACTAAAAACAAACTAAAAACTACTTCCAAAAAAATTCAGCTTTGATATTAACCCCTTAAGGACACATGATGGAAATATTCTGTCATGATTCCCTTTTATTCCAGAAGTTGTGTCCTTAAGGGGTTAATGAGTTTTTTGGGTTCATTGAGAACATGGTTGTTGTTCAATAATAAAATTAATCCTCAAAAATACAACTTGCCTAATAATTCTGCACTCCCTGTAGACTTAGGTAAACCCTAGTCATGTGCAAATTAGCCAAAAACAAAGTTTATGAGAATAGACAGATGAAATCGTTTTTCCTTTTATGTGTCCAAGCTCAGGTCTGATACAGGACACGGTTATGACAGTGATCACAATCCCCACATTTCCCAAATCTCTTTTCTGATGGTTACAATGATAAACTCAGAAAATGTTACTGTCTTAAAAACAGGTCTATGAAGGTCTGTGCACACAAAGGTCGTACAACAGCAATAGAGTATTTCTTAAACTGCAATCCAATAAAGTGTGCTTTCAGGCGACTTTTGTGTGCCCAGACCTATCTTCGGATAGAAGTAACGGGGCTCTGGTGCAGCATCCCTAAAATGTGTTTAAACCATGATTTCAGCCCTTTCACCCAATAGTAAGTGAGGACCCTCATGTTCCATATGTAACCGGCTTTACCTAGTTTAATCTCTGTACAGATCATAATGAAAGGAACTGGTTATGAGTTTGCAATGTACTGTATATACTCGAGTATAAGACGAGTGTGCTGAAAAACCTGCGCTCGTCTTATACTCGAGTCAGTGTCTGTATTATGGCAACTTATATTGCCATAATACACACCAGGATGGCCAGGCTCATTACAATCCCAGCGGTCCTGTTGGGGGCTGGCAGCGAGCTGTAACTTACCTTTCCTGCAGCTCCTGTCAGCTCCCTTCACCTCTGTGCCGGTCAGCTCCCACTGTAAGTCTCGCGAGAGCCGCGGGGTCAGAGCGTTGCCACGGCTTACTGTGACAACGCTCTGCGCGGCACTCAGACCGCGGGACTTACAGTGGAGCTGACAGGGAGCTGACCGGCACGGAGGAGAAGGGAGCTGACAGGAGCTGCAGGAAAGGTAAGTTACAGCTTGCTGCCAGCCCCCCTCCTGCATAGTACACACCACTGGACCACCAGGGAATGAGAAGAAAATAAATAAATAAAGTTTTAAATAATATTAATTAAATAAAATATTAAAAATGCCCACCCCCCACCAAGGCTCTGCATCACATACACAAACACACTCTGCATCACATACACACACTGCATTAATACACACACACACACACTGCATTCATACACACACACACTGCACTGATACACACATACACACACTGCACTGATACACACATACACACACTGTACTCATACACACACTACACTCATACACACACACTGCACTCATACACACACTGCATTCATACACACACTGCATTCATGCACACACACACACTGCATCCATACACATACACTGCATTCATACAAACACACTGCATTCATACACACAGACTGCATTATATACACATACACACACACACACTGCATTCATTATATACACACACTGTAAATAAATATTCAATTAATATAATTTTTGGGGGATATAATTTTATTTAGAAATTTACCAGTAGCTGCTGCATTTCCCACCCTAGTCTTATACTCGAGTCAATAAGTTTTCCCAGTTTTTTGGGGTAAAATTAGGGGTCTCGACTTATATTCGGGTCGACTTACACTCGAGTATATACGGTACATAGAATCTCAAACCTACCCACAAACAGTCTGTACAATACACTATCACAGAACTCTATTCTTGTGTCCCAACCAGAATTCTATACATATTTTTTTTTTTTAAAGGTTTTAGGAGTTTGTAACCAAGAATTATTTTGAACCTAGTTTTTTTTGTTGTAGCAACTTTAATAACTAAGTGCCTCCAACATGTTTTCATATTCTCCAGACACTGTCTGTTATTACTAGCAGTGCCAAACAAATACTTAGGAGTTCAGAATTACAGGATAGAACTACATCTAAGCTGCACAAAAACAAAGTACAGTGTGTACTGATTCTATGTCTTTGTTAAATACTAGATATTCTAATTTGAAAAGGAATAAAAATCGAACGTTTCTATTGGATTTGTGCATGGCGGAAAAATTTGATTTGGCTGAATCAATTTGTAGAAAAAAAAAATCAAAACAATTTGTTCGGGTAATCTCAAAATTTGTCCATGTGGCTGTTTGATTTAGGTGATTTTTGTCCATGCAAGTAATTAGGAAAAATAATTCAACGAACAAAAAAGGCTTGAAAATGGGCCAGTGTACTGCAACATATATACATACAATAAATATTATGTTTATATGTTTTCACTGAGAGGCGCATTATCAGGTGAGAACCAACAGCGGGAAAAATGGAGAACCAGTAAAAAATATATTATATATATTTAGATCATTATTAAAAAATTTATAAATACAGATTTTTTGATTTTTTTTACTGCACACCCTTTTTTTCGGTCTGTTTGTCACTTCTCACTTGACCTGTGTATACAATCAACATTAAGCTGTGCTTCTCTATCCATCGTTCATCCTTTTTTCCCATCGCCACAGATGGAACATCGAAATATGAAACAAATGAACATGATCATCAATTGTCTGTTTCATTTTTGTTTGTGATAAGTCCAGATGCTGCTTCAGAAATACCTCAGACAACCTGTCAATCTCCCAAAATTCAGATCATCCCGGTTCACTTAAAACAGAATTGCACAAGTCTAGTTTCTATATTATTCCTCCTAATATTTTTATTTATATTTTATTTATATTTTTGAATAAGCTTTTGAAATGATTTAAAATTTTTGGATTAAACTTTTAAAAAATGGTTATTAGGGGGGCGGAGCCTAGCCGCCAAGCCGATTAAACACGTGCTGAGCGGGCTCCTGCACTGTCTTCAACAAACAAGGTGAGATCCCTGGCCCACTAGCCTTAAACTACCCCTCAGTGAATAAATCACACTAAGTGCCAAAAGACAAATCGGAGGATGAGGAGCTAAGGAGAGACAGACGCTCTCCTCTCTCTCTCTCTCTCTCTCTCTCTATTTCATGCAACAGGCTCGTCGGTCTCCTACTCCACCCCCCATTGGACCGGTGGGGGTGATCCCAGTCCACCCCCAGGAGGCATCACTGCACTATCTACAATAACGACAGCAGTGAAACTAAGTGCTACCACCTCATGCGACACACTCAAGATGGCGGCGGCCACGTGGGTCCCCTACATCTCGGGGGTAGACTTGATATCTGCATTACATTAAAAAAAAAAATGCTTATTAGCCACGCTCCCCCTCTGTATGACATCAGAGGAGGCAGGTCTCTGACCGAGAGCTGATGGACATTGGCACTAGAATCGGGAGAGCAAATAAAGGGTTTTAACCCGCGGGGGAAAGTGAGGGAGGGCGGAAAACAAAGGTCACTGTAGTGTAAGGAATACAGATTTGTATTCCTTACTATGGAATCCCTTTAACGTCACATAGATTGCAATTAAGTGGAACTGTTAGAAATGTTTAAACTGTTGGTTGTTTTTCTCTCTCGATTTTGCAGGGGATTGGAAACGGTGCCAAAATTAGACCCAAGGCTTTTTAGGATCTCACTCTTTGCTCTAGCCTCTGTCAGCCCGCCCCAAACAAATCCCATGGGTTAATGAGTGGATAGCTTGGCTGAGATGTGTCTATTTCAGGAAATGCTCCTCTTATTCTGCTCCAGTTTGAATGACGGCAGATATGTGAGAATATCACATCATATCAATATCACACATAGGTGCAAACGGAAGATGCGACAGGAAAGTTGCAAGGAAACTGCAGCATCACTTTTATACATCTTCCACTCTGTGTCCATAAGAGGGCTGATAAAGTCTAGGCAGGATGCTAGGGATCAAGTCCCTCCACAGGCCACCAGTCTTTCTATCACAGATGCAAGATAACAAATCTATTCCTGGGGGAATCCTGGCTATTCCTGGTAACATGTCAGAAGATGTAGTTGGGGCTTCCATATCAAAAGCAAGGGGACTTCTGTCACAAGCTTTCTTTTCAG